GCACTCCAGGTGGGGTCTCCCCAGAGCAGAGCAGAGGGGCAGAATCCCCTCCCTCGCCCTGCTGCCCACGCTGCTCTGGATACAGCCCAGGATACGGTTGGCTTTCTGGGCTGTATCCAACACACACGGCCGGCTCATGTCCAGATTTTTATCCCTCAGCACCCTCACATCCTATGTATGTGCTAACACTGGTGTTTCTCCCCAGAATGACAGCTGTGATTGAACATTACAACTCCAGCTGGAAACCTCAACATCTTCCTAGACACCCTGCACTTGGGACCGTTCCTGTGGGGCACTTGTCACATCTTTTACCTATGCAGTGGCATGTCCCCTCACAGCCCCACCGAGGCAGGATGAACAATGTGTCCCGCAGCTAACGCAGCCCAGCGCTCCTGAGTAGAACCAGTCTGTGAGCGGGGAGATCAGCAATTATCCTCACTGTTGGTAAGGTTAAGGTTGTGCTAGGAACTAGGAAAAAAGGAATGGGAAAGATGGGAGGAGGAAGTTTAAATCTCACCTCTTTCCTCATCTAGGTCACCCAGCCCATTCTTAGCAGGCAGAAAAAATATTAAGCATGGAGCACAGAAATGATAGGCACCAGATGCTGACAGCCCTTGGCTCTGCAGTGCTGCCTCTGGTGATGTGCAGGGAGCACACAGTACGTCCATAAATTACCGCATACCTGGCAGCTGGCCAGGGGCTAGAGCACTCTGCTTTTAATGATGTATTTCATTTCCAATGATGCAGATCATTTCCAAATGAGTTTTTCCCCCCACCTCCCTTGCCTTCGCCAAACTGCAGCCGGTCGTCCTGGAGGGAGTGTAGCTGGATTGCAGTGCATGCACGTAAAGTAGATGCCTGGAGGAAGGGTTGCTGCGATTCCAGCAGTGCTTCTTAAGCACTTCCAACACTCCTGACATTCTCCACAGTGAAAGTAAAGCACTCCTTTCTCTGGAAAGAACCTTTGTAAGTGAGAAATTTTGGTGGGAGCAAAATTTTAGGCTCAGGGACAGAAAAATTGCATGAGATTGGGGTGGAGGCGTTGCCTGATATTGCAGTTTTATTTCCTGGGCTATGTAGCATCTCGTGGTATGACGTTATAATGGAACATGCCAGTCTTCATGAGGGGCAAGAAGAAAAAATATGACCTTTCTGGCCCTGATACTTGCAAGAAAAAGCTTTTAAATACAGTTAATTCACACACTGAGTTCTACTACTAAAAGTCAAAAATCCCAGTGTAATTCCAAACTATTGCTGCGGCAGTTTCATAATGGTTTTAATTTCATCTTTGACTTGACTGGGTGGGTTTTTTTGGATGTTCGGGGTTGGGAATACCTGAAGCGAGTGCTTGCTCTCACAGTGCAATCTGCTGCAGCTGATCATTTGCAGAGCAAACACCGCTGTGAAGTGCTGCGTCTGCAGCGCTGGAGTCCTGCTTCAGTGCAATGACAGGCTGCAGGCTTTACCTGTACCTCCTGGCTGCCCTCTTTAATTATCAAAAACTAAAAAAAAAAAGTAGCTGTATGTGAAGATCTTTGGCCCCTTCAGATCACACCGTTTCAGCAGTTTCAGCACGCTCCCAATTAGTTTAGTGCATGGATTTGATTGCACAGCTGGTCTTTAAGGGTCCCAGGTTTTTCCTCACCAGGAGAAAAGAATGTGTTTTAGTATGTAATTGACTGAGTTTTCATTCGGCAAATATTATTGTGGTTGTTCTGCTGGCTGATTAATTTGCTAGGAGAGACTCTTAGCTTCTAAAAAAAACCCCAACACTTCAAGGATTTCTTCTTAAACACTCAATTGTCTCAGTAGGAACAAACTCCTTATAGTTAAATTCTTTAGCAGCAATGGAAATATCGTAGAGAAGAAAATAATTCCACAATTTACATTACGGATATTTTCTCTGAAGAGCAGTTTGTTCTGCAAGTGGATGATTTTCTCTGGTTCCTGCATAGTCCCTGTGCTATCTGCTCAGAGTTGTGAACGTTGTCCCTTCCAAGGACCAGGCTCAGACCAAAGCGTGTGGGACCTGATGTGCTCAGGGCAATTCAGACATGTTCATTTTCCGGCCATGGCAGATTTCAGTCATATTCAAATCAGAGTAGCTTGGCTGCGTGACTGGAACATTTCCAGTGGGCCTTTGGACCATACCAGAAGGATGTCTCATCCAAACTGGTCTGGATCAGAGGTTCAGGTTTTGCCTCACTCAACTTCTTTTCCAGGAGCTCTTTTTACAAAACTTACCTAGAGGCCAGTCAGTGCAGACCATCCTACAAACCCCTTAAATTTCAAAGTATTTTCCACAAGCTGAGACATTAATTTGCCATAGCTGTGAGATTCACCCAAGCCAACCTGTTTACAAAGTTATCTGCACACGCAAGTGCCCTAACAACTCTGAAATTGCACAGGCAAGTCAGGCAGGGCTGTTCTGTACCCGACATATCAAACAGCTTGTCCTTAGCTTTCAGAAGGGGATGAAGATTTGCTAAGACTTTCCGCTATTGCTGAGGTCTGAAATGCTGCAGGAGGACGCATGCGGAGCTGCTCAGCTTCCTCAGGCCCTCCTGGAGCAGTTACTTAAGATGGGAAGGCACTTACTTGTTGCAAAGCTCCATCTCCGTTATGATAATCTCTTGGACGTGCCAGAAGACGTCAGCTTTTGCGGATGACTTCTTCCCATCCTTGGGGCAGTGTCCAACACAGATAGCTGCAATATCCCCAACGTTCTTTGAAGAAAACTGAAAT